ANCTATACAGATTTGAAAAAATAAAATAAAATAGAAATCAATTCATAATTACTACTAGAAATTCATTATCTTTAAAAAGAAAAAATAAAATAAAATAGAAACTAATTCATAATTACTACTAAAATCCATTATCTACTTTAAGAAGCTAATTTTCATCGGTCTAATTACTATTATTTTTACAAATATTCTAAGCTAACCATACAAAAAAGTATAATAATAATTTTGAAATGGTGTGTAATCAATTTTTTTTATATTCTCTTATACAAAATCATTTTACATTGTTTGACCCCGAATCTTTAATTTATAATTATTAAATATTGTTTATCCTCCTCTTTTATTTATAATTATTTTTTTTTCTTCCTCTTTTTAAATACGATCAATAGTAGTTTTCACTTCCGCCATTGACTCAAACTCGAGGTCTATTTATAATATTGTTAATTTAATATTGTTCCCGTGCATCGCACGGGGTACACACTAGTATTCATGGGAAGATGCATTGCTCGGGTCCACCATTCCTTTTCCCCGCTTAAATTACCGAAATGCCATCCCGACAAAATTTAAAAGTTGAAATCATCTCATCCCGGATATTTAATTTGGACCATTTCTCAATGACTAATGCGAATATTTAATTTGGACCATTTCTCGATGAGTAATGCTGTAGAGCTAATTTAATTTAGAACTTGACTTACAACTCAATCGTAAATACATTATTTTTTAACTTTTTGATAATATATTTATACTTAAATTATAATTTAAGTTGTCATTCAAGTAGATTAAATAGCACTAGTGTGTGGCCCGTGCGATGCACGGAAAAACAATATTATGATTGTATTATATTTTAAATATATAAATAACATTAATCATGATTTATCTATTGTTTTTAAATTAAACCGGGTTGGACACAGTCCGACCGGATGGACCGAGAACCAGTTTATAACCAATCTAGCTCGATTGAATAAAATATTTGCTCTCGAATCCGTCCACACCAATCTGTTGGACTGGTAAGATCAATACGATTTTCTAAATAATTTTCGTTATATTTAAAATAATTTAAATAAAATTACATATTTAAATAAAATAAAGATTTACAAATTTTTTATCAATTAATTTAAACATTTGAATTTATAAATTGTTTAGATATCTAAGTAACACATTTTATTTAAATTTATTACAAAAAGTAATATATATATATATTAAAATATTTATAAATTATAATATGAACAAACCAGAAATGATTTAATAAAATAGCTTAATCGTAACGATGACGGTCCAGTTCTGAAACTTTATATTTTCTGTACATTAATAAATAGTATAATAAAATATTATTTAATTCACATAAATATTAATAAAATGATATATAAATATTCATAAATCATTAAACATGTTGTCATAAACGTATTGTTAATACGATTATTTGAAGTTTGGACTACATCATATTCACGTAATAAAATATTTTCAATTTAAAATTTATCTTTAGGTTCAATAATCGATTTGGTGTGGTCGAACTGGTACATAACTTAGTCACCTCGGACCAAGCAAACTGTGTCAAGTTTTTTGACTATTTTAAATATCACCTAAAAGTAAATCAAGCAATTTGGGTAGTACCCTAATTCAATCACCCGATTGATCCGAAGAAATTTTTCTTATTTTCTTTAAATATATTTAATTTTATGAAATAAAAATATTTTATGATTCATATAATAAATGTCTACAGCAAATGATAGTATATTAAGATTATAAATTAAATATCTAAAAATGAATTAATTATTTTTACTTTTTGCATATTAATAAAAAATAAACATTGTAATTTTCAAAAAGTTAAGATTAATTGATTGATTATGCAATTTAAAAAATATTTTTAGCGTTCAATATTTTTTTTAAAGACACAAATATAAAGACCGGGATTCTAAAACTTTTGTTATATTTTGATTAGATTTTATAAATATATAGACTGAGATTTTAATGTTGTTCGTTGTTTCTAAAAAAAATAAATATAAAAACATACACACTTAATAAATCTTAGCCGAATTTTTTAAATAATAAAGTGAACTAAAACTCGAAATTCAAGGTAGCATTTAATGTTGTATGATTTTTAAATAAGAAAAATAAGAAAAATACTAAAACTTACTATTTACAGGCTGCATTAAATTTTGACTATTTTTTTGCTACTATTTTTGGTAAATGATAATTCTTATTATATATATATATATAGATAGATTAGTCTTTCTCAATTTATCTCATCCCGATTATGAAGGAGCTTGACATCTTTATATTTATGTGAATTTTCTTGACCTCAAATCATCCAATAAAGTTATTTACACGATTCTTATCCATTCAAACTCGTACATTTTTTTCACATTCATTTTTATCGATCGTTATTCAGTATTTTATTGTATCGTTTAACATTATATATATTTTATCAACATTTACATGATATTTAAGGATTCACTGTTCAATCCATTCAAACTGGTACGCTTTTATCACAACTATTTTTATCGATCGCTATCTATTATTTAATGCATATCTATTTTTATTGATTGCTATATCTATTATATAATGCATCATTTAACCTTATATATTTTTATCAATATTCATTTTTGTTGATCGCTATCGTGTATTTAATTGTATCATTTAATTTATATATTTTTATTAATATTTCTGTTATTTAAGGATTTGCAATTTTAGTCACATCAGCATCGCATTGAACTCATTTTTTTATCAATGTTGGAGCCATATTTGAATCAAGTTGAACCCTATTTTGGAATCACCTACTTTAATATTTTTTTTTTTAAACTTGCTAAAGTATGTTAATCATTTTTTAAAATGAATTTATAATTTGAGACTTTTGGCTCAAATGTGATGAGTGGCACCAAGTTTTGTAGTGTACAAGCTAGCTCTTACAAAATATGGAACTAGAGCTCATCATATCATAGCAACTAATAAGACAACATATTCCTTGACAACTTACAAGCAAAAAAGAAAGTTGGGGATGAGTTGAGCATTACCAAACTCAAAACCTTAGGCGATATTCGAATTCCCATCGCCAGGAATCGGCCCTGATCCTGATCGAGACCTCCGACCCCTTTCGCTTCGACTATTCTCCGAAAACTTCAAACCGGCCATGTGAAAGCCCTTGTCTTTCTCGTCTGATGTCCACTCGGACATGTAATAGTCCTCCTCGGTCGAGGCCCCGCTGGGCCCACACAACATTCCTCCCCATTGAGGAAAGTGTATTAATGCAATCACTAGTGTGCAACATATGATCATAACCCCCATTAAGGTTATCCCACTCTCCGTTGAATATCTTGAACCTCTAAAGAAAATCACTTGTGTCACAACTGCACCTACATTTCCTCCTCCACCAGTCATGCCCGAAACTATACCTAGAGACCTAGTTTTTTAAAAAAAAAGTATTCAATTACTTTTTCACTGATTTTACGAGCGAGCAAAAGAAAATCGTACCTCCGGGACACGAAAGGCACGACACCGAACGTGAGCCCGCACGCCGCCTGCACGAAAATCGAGAACACGACCATCACTGCAACCGAGCCCACGAGCGACCCGACCCTCCCGAGCCACACGCATAGCAATCCTCCAATCGTTTGTACCCCCCACAAAGCCCACAACCTCCCCCTCATTNACCTGTCGTGAAAATACTGTGCGACTATGTTGTCGACAGTGAGCTCGACTCCGAAGCAATACCCGTAGGTCAACGCCAATATCCATCCTCGATAGTTCCCAACTGCGCCCGAGAACACGCTCGAGAATCTATCCTTATGCTTCTCGCCGGATTTATGGAGCTCTGAGTAGTTCCCGTCCGGTAAATCCTGGCCGAGGAAGAATATCCCGTAGGCCGAGAGGGTTTGAAACATGGCCGGGACAAAGAATGCGATGCGCCAGGCGGTGAACCGGCCCGGCCCGGCCCGGAGGATGAGTTCGTAAACGAGCGGCATGACGAGCTGTGTGGCGCCGCCGCCGAGATTTCCCCATCCTCCGGCGACTCCGTTGGCGGTTCCGACGACTCCGGCTGAGAAGAGAGAGCTCATCCAGAACTGGGTCGAGACGAAGGTGGCGAGGGAGAAGCCGGTAAAGAATCGGGCCAGGAGGAAGCCCGCCGGAGAAGAGGCGGCGGCGGTGGAGTAGACGGCCGGAGCCGTGAGGAGGGTCAACGAGGCGGAGGCCAGCCGCGGCCCGAATAAGTCGCACGCCGTGCCCATTGCCACACGTGCGAAAATCGCGCCTGCCGGAGATAAGCAAANAAACAGAGTAAAACAGGGGATTTGGGGGAAATTGAATCGGCTAACCGGAAACGGCGGCGATTCCGGCGTTGCCGATGTCAGTGGCGGTTAAATCGAGGTCGTCGCGGATGATGGGGATGAGGGGAGGGGCGGCGAAAGTGGAGACGAAGCAGGCGAAGAATGAGATCCAGGAGAGATGGAAAGCGCGCATGTGGGGAGCGGCGAATGAGAGTAGCCGGAATTCGGTGGCTTTGTGCTCGGAGTCCACCGGAAGAGCGAATTTTCTCCGGTGGGATTCGTCGGAGCCTTGAGAAATCTCCATTTTTGAAGGTGGGTTTTGAGGGAGTGTGGTTCGAAGTTCGGTTTTGGTTTGGTTTAAGTGTTTTTGTTTTTCTATGTTGACTGTGGAGCTTTTAAGACAGCTAATTACCTGAATCTAAGGGAATGTGCAATTTTTGACTTGGTCTGAGATTCCTGCTGCATTGGAATTTTACTCATGTGTGATATGACTAGTATGCCCTCTCTTTTTTGTTATATTAACTGTGAGGATTATGTAAAAATCAGATCATCCCTTTAAAATTACAAATATTTTGAGGTTTGTATGAGGAATTTAGAGTATCATTGGATCTTTTTATAATCAAGTGTAGAATTGTTGACCAAATCGATCCACTCCTGAACTTGACTCGGCTCATTAACACTCGAGCTTGTTTGAGGCTCTTTAAACTTATTGAGGTTTTTAGACAATTTTTTGAATTTTTAACATAATTCGGCTTGTTAAGACTTATTCATGAGCTGAGCATGGTTGCCTAGATAAAGGCTCGAGCTCAAGCAAGAGTAGGAATTCAAGCTCAAATTGACTGTTTTACAGTTATGATTAAGATATTAATATTCTGACCAATTTTGTAAATGGCCCATTATTTACTGAGTTGTCACAAGATAATTTTCTTTAAATGGCCCATTATTTATTGAGTGGCCACAAGATAACTTTCACTGGTGAAAAATAGGAAAAAGTGTGAAACAAAAAAATATTTGTGTTTTTCATTCATCCCTTTTCTTATTTTCTAGATCTTCATTACTTTGTTATAATGTCGACCAATGAATCACTAAAAAATGTTACCTTTTCAAAGAACTTTTGTTATTTACACTCCACCTTCAAAGTTGGAGTACATTGTTCATTCCATGATTTTGGCATTTCTATTCATTCCAATTGGTGGAGCAAAAAGACATGTTTGATTACCACTTAT